ATATTTAAACTGGTCTTTCTGATGAAGGTGAAGCAGTTTGAACCAGTTCTGTGCTTGAAAATTTAAACCCACAAAAAAGTGACGAGTCGTGCAGAAGAGGAGCAGCTGTGTTTACTGGGGGGGTTACGTTGCTGCCCCCACCTACGCTCTCAAACTGCAGTGACGAAGAACGATCAGCAGTACTAACTGTGTACTCAGGTAAGGGGCGTATTCAGGAATACTTTCCTCGGCTCTTCAATCCTTTACCACGTTCTAGAATTCGGCTGATTTTGTGTCGTTTCTTAACTTCCACAATCGCTGCTGCGTTGACAAAATCCCAACACCATTTTGGTTTAAATACAAATAAAACAAAAGTCTTTAGACCCAAGTTTGTTCAAATGAAATTAATTTATAACACTGATTAGAGTCATTTCAACAATCCATTCCAGGTTCACAGGTGTGCTGCTGAAATCAACATCCGTTCATTAAATTAAGACATTTTATGTACAGTGTCCACACGAAGCGCCGCTGATGACAGCCGTGATGGTTTAGGTCTACAGAGCACGCAGTTCAAACTGGGAGGAGGCACTTCTGATTTTTTCTTTGAGTTTTTCTCGTTTTGTTCAGGCAAGCCTTGGACAGCACGCTAACTCTCGTTATAAGGATGTCAAACAAAACGAACACGATCTACAATCACCGTGACAACGAGAGACGAACGAGGGACAGAGGACAGGCGGAAAGGACCCTACAGGCCCAGGGGGTTTATTCACAACGTTCATTTTCAAAGAAAACATTAAGCCCCACTTATCACATTTATGATTTTTTTTTCATGCAGATGAACTACAACTTTACTTTGCTTTGAAATCACCTCATCACTTGAACCAGGTTTAAACATCCACAGTTTGAAAAGTATTCACCCCCTCGGTATTCTGTTTTGTTGCAACAGCTGTTTTTAAACCAGGACAAAAATTCTGCTAAATTCTGATTTAGTTAAACGGGAAAATTAACCGTTTAAAATTATTCTAAACATTTAAAACAGGAAACACTGCATTATGTATTCATCCCCTTCTCATCAAAATAAGAAGCAAAACTCTTCAGAAGCCATAATTAGATTAAAAAGAGCCACCTGTGAGCAATCCAAGCATCATACCATCATAAATAAACCAGTTCAAGACCTACCACCCAAAGCTGGGGACATCATGAAGGCCAAGGAATGGTCCTCATAGTCAAAGAAATTGTGGAGGAGTTCAGATCAGGGTGGCTTATAAAATAGATCTTAAACCCTGAACATCTTACAGAGCTATCAGGGAACAGAAAGATGATGTCACCACAGCAGGGGTTGTCTACCAAAACTCATGGACCGGGTCAGGAGGCGGTAAACCAGTGAAGCATCCAGGAAGGCAAAGAAAACCTAAAGGAGCTGGAAGATGGAGGATCTGTCCACAGGACCACCAGAAGATGAACAGAGCTGGACTTCATGGAAGAGGAGCAGAAAAAGACCGACCAGTGGATTAAGGAGAACCAGTTAAAGGTCCTGGAATGGTCCAGTCAAAGCCCAGACCTCAGTCCAACCGAGAATCTCTGGTTTGGTTTAAAGACATTAGTGTCACAGGTCCCGCCTGAAAGAGCTGCAGCAGACTGGTCCTGAAAAACCAAGAAAAAGTCCAGAGGTTCTGGAGACAGACCTGAAGCTGGAACTGCTGCAGTCTCCTTGTAGGACACAAGATTTCTGAGGGCTGAATACATATGCAACACCATTTTACAAGTCTTTTATTTTCAACGTCTCGTCCCACATTTTCCTCATTACCAATTAGATTTGTTGGAATCTTACTTTAATTAAGTAAAAATTCAATTTTAATGGAAGAAAACAGAAAATTACCAAGAGGAGTGAATAGTTTTGGGCCTCGGCGATGATGGAGCGTCACAGCCAGAAGGCAGCCACCGCGGACCAAGTTTGACGAACTGCCACAGGGCTTTTCTCGTAAGACGAGCAGGACCGAGCAGAACCGCATCGTTTCAGAGGAGCGACGAGTGCAATGTTCACGTGAGGAACGAGGCAAAGCAAGAGCGAGCAAAAGAAGACTAAAGGTGGTCTTCGTCTGACGTTTTAATCCTTCCTGTCCACAAGTGCGGCTCTGTGACTGAACGGATGTAAGGCTGACAGGAACAGAATTAGTGCTAAATACTTCAACAGGTTTGCCACAGTCCGTCATTCTGCACTTCCCTTCTGACGATCTCAGGTTTTTTTGCTTGTGACTTGTAAATGCGAGTCTCTGTCCTCCAGTTCCAGCTGCTCACGAGAATCCTTTGGGTTTCTGTTGTTGCTCGGACAGGAGGATAGATGGAGCGTACGAGGGGCGGGTGGATCAGGGCCACCCCTGTGCAACTGTTTGCAGGAAAATAAAGATGGTGCGAGTGGGGGAAGGTGGAGGGTGCAGCCGTCTAGTTCCCCCCGCAGCAGGCTCGGGTGGAGTGAGCGTCCGGGTCCTGGAGGTTGACGCCGCGATGTCGCGCCGCGTGGGTCGGGTTCTGGGTGTCTGTTTTGGGCATCTTTTTTGCTGCAACACAAGAAAAAAACATCTTTAACTAAAAAAAAAAACAAAAAAGCAACAATCCATGACAATCTATTGTCAATTTAAATAAATAAGTAAAGTGAAAATCTCACCAATAGCCAAGAAGAGCTCGTTCACATTCATGGCCGTCTTGGCAGACGTCTCCATGAACAGCAAGCCGGTGTCCTCAGCGTACGCCTGCGCTTCCTTCACCACACATGAAGTTGATGAATGAGAACGTGATAAATACTAAACAGCAACACAAATCTGTTGAAAGCAGTTCAAGCTACAAATAAAACTGAAAGCAGCTCAGTCATAACACCACTCCCCAAACTCCCAAAAACCCCTAAACACTGAAGACGCATCGGCAATGACCAGTCCAACCGTTTGGAGCCTCCTGAAGAAGAAAGAGGCCCCTGGTGTTCCCAGTGACAGACGTCAAACATCAGCAGCTGACGACAGAAACGTTGTGAAAACTTTGAATAAAAACCCTGAAACACCTGTTTTAATACTCCGTTACAATCAAGTCGGACAATTTTAGCTCGATTCTACAGGAGGCAGCAGGACGTCTTTATAAACGTTTTAACATGGCTGTTCAGACCCAGGTCAGAGTCCACTTCAGGCTTTTTCAGAATCTTTTAGCATCACAGACTGCAGGCGTGTGCTAACTTTTAGTTTTTCCTCTTTTGCCCCAAAAAGTACAGCTTCAGTTTTATCCATGTCGAGCTTGAGAAAGTTCTGACTCATCCAACGTTTGATTTGTTCAATGTAGCCACTCAGTGCATGTATTGGACATTACATCTGTTTTATAACTGAATACTCCATCTGTACTGTTTTCTAAGCTTTTTTATTGTTTTCTATTGTATGGGTGTACATATGGTTATGTTATGTTTTCATTTTTACTTTATTATTCTTCTCACCTTTATGTCGAAGCAAATTCCTAGTTTGTGAACCTCGTTCATTGACATGGCAATAATAAACTGATTCTGATTCTAGATGTTAAACAGAAGAGGCCCCAGGATGGAGCCTTGGGGAACTCCGCATGTTCCACAAGAAGCTCTCATTAGCAAGAACAGGCAGGCCAGACTCAAATTTACAGTGACAAATTTATGAATTTACAGTTGCTGGTTGAAACACATAATTGAGAGAGACTGCAACAGAAAATTTGTATATTTTATCCCAAACCTGCGTCGCTAACTAGACTCCAGCCCTACCCTAGTGACACGTTACCACAAGGTATGTAGCTACAAACTGACTTGCAGCCAGTCAGAACAATTAAACCTGCAAACACAAAGTGCCAGGGAGGGGTGGATATGGTCACAGAGCAGGCAGTGAGGAGAGCGTTACCTCAAACTCCACCAGTCTCTTCTCAGCCAGGTCAGCCTTGTTTCCAGACAGCGCTATGACGATGTTAGGACTGGCCTGTCTCTGTAGCTCCTTCACCCAGGCCTTGGCTCGTTCAAAGGTTTCCTGCACAAACACACACATAAACCAAAGCACCAAGATAAATATGCTACACCATCTCTGACGGTTGGACATGGACAACCAGTGACTTAGTGTCAACGTACCGGCTTGGTGATGTCGAAGACGACAATAGCAGCCTGCGCTCCGCGGTAGTACATGGGAGCCAGACTGTGGTACCGCTCCTGTCCCGCGGTGTCCCAGATCTCGAACTTCACTGTGGTATCATCTAGACACACCGACTGAGCCAAGAACGCAGCTGCAGGTGGAAAAGAGCACCAGGTCAACAGGTATCCTCTCGTTGTTCACCCGTCCCCCTGGTTAGGATCGGATCCCCTCACCTCCTATGGTCGTCTCCTGGAACTCGTCGAACTGTCCCTTGACGAAGCGCAGCACCAAGCTGGACTTGCCTACAGCCATGTCCCCCAACAGAACCAGCTTGAACTGGCAGATCTTGGTCTGTGGTAGTGTGCCATTGGAGCGGCTGCTGCTCCCTCTGGAGCTCATACCGACCTGCACAGGTGACGGCTGGGGAGCTGGGCCTCCTCCCTCAAGTGGGGGGCTATGAACAACTCACAAGGTCTCCCAAACAGGTGAGCTGCCCTAACTTGACTCCTGTTCTCTCCTGTTTTTGGCTTTAAAGTAAAAAAAGAAAAGTTTTGTTTTTGTACCGTATAAAAGCAACAAAGAATGCAGAAAATAAAATCTGTAAATCTAAACATCTGGTTACTCTTCACACAGTACAACCAGAGCCAGTGGCCCCCGAGGGCCCATAGATCATCACCAACCAATACTGACTTTCAGCCTGGTCTTTTGAGCTCAGAGGCTTCTACAGATCCTTCAGATCTTTTGATGACACTATGATGGAGATTAAACTCTTTCATTCAGGAATCTTATCCTGAAATTGTTCCACGGTTTCAGTTTTCACAGACTGCTGAACCTCTGACCATCGTCTCTTCTTATACCCAGTCCTCTCACTGACCTGTCACCAGGAAACATCATTTATTGCAAAATGCTCCTCGTTGTACATTTTACACGTCACACCTTTTTGGAATTGGGGTTGGATTTGTGAAGACTAATTACATTCAACGTGTTTGACGTTTTAAAGGGAACGTGGTCTGACAAGACGAGTTGTACCGACTCGGTAACATTTATGAGCACTGGCCTGCTCCTGCAGAAATGTCAATTAAACGCGCTAATGAATATTGTTGAAGCAAATCTGTGACTGCTTTGTTGAATCTACTCACCTACAGAGAGTGGAATGTTACATTTACATGGACAATTTCCTACAAAATACTTATTTTCCATCCTTTTATATTAAGTCACAGAAAAAACGACGTGACTACCAAGAATTCAGATTTCTTCTGCATGACCTCTTCAGTCTCACAGACGAGAATATTCTGTCCATTATTGTTTTCAACATTGTTTCAGTTAATTGAGATTTCCAGGAAGTTTTCTGCTCGGCTCTCTTGAGGTCCCAACGCATCGTTTCTATCACATTTAAAACTGGACTTTTGACTGGACCGTTGCAGTACCACGATTTTTTTCTTTGCCGAGTCATTCTGTTGTAGATTAGCTGCTCCATTTGGACCCACTGTCTTGTTTCCAAACACCAACTATTGACATGCAAACCTATTTTATTTAAACACTTTTATCTGTTTTGATGACTTGCAATGGTCTTAAATATCGAGATGAACCCCAGAAAAAATAAAACATCTCATAATTATGTCTGGAATTCCCTGAAAATGTCTCCATCACTTTAAATTGTTGTGTGGCGGCTGTTTAAACAAACCAGTCAGGCTCTAGGACCATGCGGTGCTCGAGTCGTGTTGTGAGAGCAGCTTCTACAGCTACGTGCTGAGAGGAAGAGTCTCTGACACACCAAACAGCCTTAATGCTGAATGACTTATCAACTTTAAAACTGAGAAAATAAACTTTGAACCTCTCTGTGATCCGTTTGAGAGGAAACGAGTGTGTACCGTTCACAGAGAATACCTCCCTCTGATCTTCATATTTAATCTTTTCTGTGTTCACGGTAATCAATACTTCTCTGTGATAATAATAATAGTACAAAAACATGCAGAGGAGTTTCACTCTGATGTCCTGAGACTTTCCACAACTCAGACTCTCAAACGCCTCAGAGAACCACCGTGTCTGCCTGTATTTATTTTATCTGGATTATCTTGTTTTCTGCTGTAATCTCAAGGAGAAATATTTGTAGTTAATTGAATGTTTTATTTTTGACGAGTTGTAGTAAACAGCTTTCATTAGAAAACAGTAAAAAACAGTGATTTAGAAGAAATGAAATGTTTTTGAACAAAAACAAAATCCATGGTCACGTTTTAATATTTTGGACCCTTGTGATTCATTCAAGATGCTTGGTTTGCAAACTGTCTGTCTGGTCAACAATGTGTACAGTACAACAGAGTGGTCGGCCATCAGACATTTGAAAATCATGAAAGGTGTCCCACAAGGCTCCACTTTGGGCCCTATATTGTTTTCAGTTCATACCAATAATGTGGGTCAAAATGGTACTGATGCCAGGATGCATTTATATGCTGATGACATGGAAGTTTATTGTCACGCTAATTCTGTAATACCTGTTCTCAAGTGTCTGTAGACTGCATTTGACTCCATCCAATTAAATATGCTTCAGCTCAAACTGGTCAAAACAAAGGCCATGCTGTTTGAAAAGCAATAAAGGTGCCACCAACGATCCCGCTTATCAGCTCCACGAATGTCATAGCTATAGAGTTTAGTGAAACTTATAAACACATCAGGATTATCATAATTAAAAAAAGCTTTCCTTCAAGTCTCATGTTGACCACTTCTAAAAGAAACTAAAGATTATATTAAGAATCATTTTACAATGTTCCTTCCACTGCTGGACTCTGTGAAGTTTATATAAAATCTCCTGGGCAGCTCTGTGGACATGCTGGATGCTGCTTTTCATGGAGCTCTGATTTAAACTGTAAAGATTCATTCAACCTTTATTTATACAGGCTAATCTCATTGAGCCACGAGGACCCGTTTACAAGAGGGACCTGTAACGATGACCAAAAGAACGAGATCCTGGATACAAGTGGCCAAACAGGACTTCCTTCACAGAGTGGCCGGTCTCAGCCTTATAGGGTGAGGAGCTCTGTCAGAGCCGCTGCTCCTCTGGATTGAAATGAGTCTGTTGAGGAGGTTCATCTGATCTGGACGCCTCCTGGACCTCGCTTTAGAGGGTTTCCAGGCACAACCTACTGGTAGGAGGTCCTGGCGCAGACCCAGAACTCGCTGGAGAGATTGTGCATCGTCTCTGGCTTGGGGGCACTACAGGGTCCCCCAGGTACGGCTGGAAAGTCTCGCTGTGGAGCGGGAGGTCTGAGTTCCTCTCCTGGACCTGCTGCCTCCACGACCTAACTACGGATGAGGTGGAAGACGCAGCTCGTGATCCTCGGCCTGGTGCCTCCCTATCTATGCATGTATGTCATAAAGACAGCATTCAGTGTCCTCGCAGTTTGTCAGGGCTTGGAAACATGTTCTGATCCATCTTCATGGACACTGCAGTAAGAACAGCCGTTCTCCAAAACCCATTTACAACCTGTTCTTCTACCGCTCTAAATTAAAGTAAAACGATGTAACTGCAGCTCACAACTAATTAACCTTTGCCTACATAAAGATGCTAAGGCCCAGTGAACTTTAGAGAGAGTGCGCTGGATCTTGGTGTGGTAGTAGCTGACAGTGGTTCAGAACACGCACCTCAAGCACCAACATGTGACATCACACGAGGAATGAACCTGTCAACCTGCTGGGACTGCACATTAAATTACCACAATAGATGTTTCTGGCACATTTACAATGTTTTGTGTGCAATGTCCTCCTCATGTAAATAACTGTTTTTATGTCCCAAGCAGCAGCAACTTTACACCAAACTGGTCCAAACTGGACGAACCGTTCGAGTAAAGACGTGATGAATATCAGCTGAAGTTGCGTCATCGTTTAGCGTGAATGTCACACGGAGGGTAAAGGTCTCCTCGACAACACAAGCCCGGGCTGGCTGCTTTTATCGGACCCGAACATTCATTCAGAACCGTCTGGGCCCAACGGTGCCGCTCCTGCGATCACAGCTAACCGGGTGCGGACGAACCGACACCTAATTACAGAACTTTCTGTGGACACTGAGCTCCGGCTGTCCGTCGGAACCACATGTGGACACAACAGGAACGCATTTACCGTGTTCAGAGGCGTCTCAGCGGCCGCAGGTCTCTGTTGACCATCAGCTGACGGAAGAGAAAATGATGACACTTCCTGGAGAGCCGCGCATGCGCACTGAGTGCCGCATCGTCAAACCTGAAGCTGACGGAAAAACAAGAGGCTGCTGCCAAAAGAAGCATTTAATGCTGAAATCACATGAGTCTGACAAGAAAACTCCTGGCAGGAGGATTTAGGCTTCATCTAAATACAGAAACGTAGACAGTTTGTTCAGAAAGATGTTAAATTAATAACCTTTAAAGAATATCCTGATGCATGCTCAATCATCCAGGTAGAAAAATCTAAAAAAGTTACATCTGGTCCTCTGGACATTCAAAAAACTCCAAAACAAAACAAAATTGTAGAAACGTTTCGTCTCTCATCCAAGACACTTCCTCAGTCTGAGGTGCTGTATTCAGCTCAGTCCTATAAATAGCACCTTCTCATGGTGGATCAACCAGTTTGCTGCTGACAACCAGAACCAGCTGATCACATGCTCAAGAAGGACCATCAGCCTAACAATGGATCATTAGCACACTGATGGCTGTTTACTGTTCACAGGGGGTTGAGTGAAAACCAAGGGATGTTGTTTTCAAACAGGAAGTCGGTCCCAGCAGTTCTTCCTCCGATTTTATCCTCAAATGGTTGAGTTTGTTGATCCCTATAAATATTTGAGTATATTGGTCGACTCACATCTCTCTTTTAAGCTCCATGTCAAAAACCTAGTAAAGAAACTGGAAGTTAAACTGGGTTTCTTTTTCAGAAACAGATCCTGTCTAACTCTGAATGTTAGGAAACACCTTGTATCTGTGACTTTCCTTCCCTCCATTGATTACGGTGACATTATTTACATGAACGCTCCTACAAGAACCCTGCAGATGTTGGATGCTGCAGATGTTGGATGCTGTCTATCATGGTGCACTAAGATTCATAACTGGCTGTAACTACCGTACCCCCCACTGCACCCAGTATTCACTGGTTAACTGGACATCATTAACTTCACACAGACTCTCCCACTGGTACATTTTCATCTTTAAATCACTTCTTGGTCTGCTGCCTTCATACATCTCCTCCTACATGTCTCTGTGTGAGTGCAGCTACAGCGTGCGCTCTCAGGACATCATTACCTGCAGTGTTCCCTCAGTGAGGACTGAACTAGACAAAAGGACCTTCTCCTTTCATCATTCAACCTTTATTTATACAAGTTAATCCCATTGAGCCTCGGGGACTCGTTTACAAGAGAGACCTGAATTTTAACAAAGAGTGATGACAACAGTGGACAACAACGACAACAATAGTCAATCAAAAATGATGTGTACAATTATTTTTTTAACAAGTGAAAATAAAATGGCAATTAAAAGGAAAAGTAGCGATAAAACAGCAAGGTTGTAAGGTGGTGTAGAAAACTAAAAACAGGAGCATTTCTGCAGTGATTTTTGCAAAGAACTTAACAGATGTTTAAAGCCACTTCGAGAGGTCAAGGTTGAGTCCCTGTTTCCTGGAATATCTTGCAAAAAGATCTGAAGCTCTTGACCTTGACCTCTCTAAGTGGCTTCAAACATCTGTTAAGTTCTTTGCAAAACCCAATGCAGACATGTTCCTGCTTTTAGTATTTTATGTCACTTTATAATGTAGCTGTTTTTGTTTCGTTTTTTTAAATACCATTTTCTTTCATTTGTTCTTTTCAATTTGTATGCTTCCTTTTATGATTGTCTACTGTTGTCATCATTCTTTGTTAAAATCTGGTCTCTCTTGCAAACGTGTCCCCGAGGCTCAAAGTTACTAACCCGTATAAATAAAGGTTGAATGAAAAATAAGCACTCTATAAATACTGTATTATTATTCATTATCAATATGTAATAATGAAACAAAATAGCATTAATTACTGTAATTTTTACATTAGATTGAAAAATTAAACAAAACCCTCTGTACTCGTGTATTAATGCAAAAATACTGTTCTGTAATTTGTAAATGTGCTGACACCTTCCGGCCGCCAGGGGGCGCGCATGCGCCCACATGACCGGAAACTAAGACTCAGGCGGCGGAAGTTGACATATTTTGATTTGAGGAGCTGAAGCTGGGGAGCTGAGTAGAAAAAATAAGTTTACTTGAGCGGTGTTTTTATTTTATTTATTTAGATAAGATATGTTTTTGACATTATGCCAAGGACAAAGAAAAGCAAGCAGAAGAAGAGCAGCGACTCGGCGGTTAGTTTCAGCTTCATTCTTTTATTTTTTTTTTAAAAACTAGGGAAATATCAGATTTTAAACTCATTATAGATTATTTAATTCAAACTTTGTGCACAGTATATGCACTCAGTTCCTTTCTCTAATAATCAGAAAATCAACCAAATCAAAATTATAATAAATAACTTGCTTTCATTTTGGAGTTCTTCTTTAACAAAGGTTTTCCAGCGTATGTTCAGATTTATTTGTTATTATCTGGAGTCCTGCTGAGCCCCTCGTTGTTTTTTACTGCTCGCTTCAGGTGCAGGGAACCAACGACAGCAGTGTGGTGAGCAAGTGTTCGGCTGCAGCTCAGGGCTACTTCAAGGACCCTTTTCTCCAGCACTTTGTGGCCAAGGTGACCAGAAGAGCCCCGCTCATCAACAGGTGAGCTGACAAGCGAGTCTTCTCACAGATGAAGGTCCACAGTCCAGCTGCAGATTAAAGCTCGATTGTTTCAGGGGCTACTATGTGCGCTGGAGAGCTGTGGACCACTGTGTGAGGACGTTCCTTCAGGTCACAGCGAAATGCCCGAACAGACAGGTGAGTTAACGTGTCACACAACACCACCCAGTATAACCAGCAGCTGAGTGGTTTTCTGACGTTTTTGTGTCTTTGTCTTTCCCTCCACTGCTGCAGATCTTGTCTCTGGGTGCAGGTTTTGACTCTCTGTATTTCCGGCTGCGTGCAGATGGAGCTCTGAATGACGCCGTCGTGTTTGAGGTGGATTTTCCTGACGTCGCGCGGCGTAAAGCTGCTCTGATAGCGTCTAATATAAATCTGAGAGGAATGTTAGACTCGTGTCTGCCTTCGCTTACAGGTTTGTTACGCTACTTTTAGCTCAAAGTGCTTGTTCAGCTTTCATTGTTTAGCTAGTTTTTTCACAACAAACATCATCTCAGGGCTGTACAGAACATTCACTTAGGTTATAAAATTACAATGATTAAAATGATCTATTTATGGAAGGCAGCAGATTGTGAGTAATCTTCACTTTGTCTCAGTCTCATTCTGAGCAGAACAACTGGAAGGAACAACTCTTTGAATGAGAAGGAGCCTCCACCAGCAGGACCAGGACCAGGGTGGGCAGCCACCTGCCTCGGTCAGCTGGGGTTATTTAATTTAATTTACCCTTTATTTGTACAGGTAGTCTCACTAAGTTACGAGAACTCATTTTCAAGAGAGACCTGTTTGGGGGCAGATGGTGGGGGTTAAGGGCCTTGCTCAAGGGCCCAGAGTGGGGCCACTGAGGGTGGAGGCAGGTGTGGTTCACCTTTTCCACCTACAGTTTGATGTTGTTGGTACTGGGAGTTGAACCTGTGACTTTCCAATCACAGGCCCATCTTCTTTAACCTCTGCACCACCACTCCCACAAGAGAACATTTGAGTGTTCTGCTTCTTTCAGTTTCACCAGCAAACATTCAGGTTGCCAAGTCGTTCATGTGATCGTGTGTTTGCAGGGCCTGTTTACGTGTCCAGCAGTCACCACCTCCTCTTAGGATTGGACGTTAGAGACGAGTCCCAGCTGGAGGATGCTCTGGGTGCAGCTGGGCTGGACTGGACCGCCCCCACCCTGATTCTTTCCGAAGTGGTGCTCACCTACATGGAAACACAGTGGTCCGATGCCGTGATCAGCTGGGCGGCGGAGCGCCTGCCACAGTCTCTGTTTGTGATGTACGAGCAGATTCATCCTCACGATCCGTTTGGTCGCATCATGCAGGAGCATTTTGTGAAGCTGAGCTCAACGCTGCACGCCCTGCTGCAGTACCCAGACACCTCCACACAGAGACGCAGGTTCCTTGACAAGGCCGGTACAAAAATACACTTTATAAAGGTTCATAAAGCTGCTACTGCAACTAGAGCTTCTGCTTAGCTTACCTTGGTGTATGAATTTGTTCTGAAGCACTGATAAGTATCTGAACGTGTGTAGTAGAGAGCTGTATGAATGTGTGTGTTGGAGGTAAACCAGGGCATCGATTGTGTTGTAAAGAGCTTTGAGTGTTTTGATTAGATAGAAAGCTGCTGTAAAGTACAGTCCATTTACTTTTCAATGGACACTTTGAACCTAATTAATTAAAATCCCAATTCTGAAAAAGTTAGGATGTTATGTAAAACATAAATAACAACAGAATGCAATATAAAAAAAAAGGTTTGTAGACTCAATCATCCAGGTAGATGACAAAAAAGGTTAAATCATGTCATCTGGACCAGATTCTTTAAGGGAGAAACGTTTCGTCTTTCATCCAGAGGACTTCATCAGTCTGTGGCCTGCCAACCAGATCTGTCCCATAAGTATCCTTCACTGCTGTGTTTCAAGACAACCTCCTGTTGGAATCTCAGAAGCTTTAAACACGTGCAGAAGGACCCATCTGTCCAAAATCTGTTGTTTTGAATGGATGGGTCCTTTTGCACGTGTTTAAAGCCTGCTTCTCTTATGGTATGGGGGTGCATTAGTTCATCCGGCATGGGCAGCCCACACATCTGGAAAAACTGCATCAATGCAGAAAAGCATTACAGGTTAGAGAACATCTGCTCCCATCCAGAAAGAAGATCCAGGACAGCTGAGCAGCTGGAGTCCTCCATCAGACCAGAATGGGACAACGTTCCCTCCAGAACCTCCAACATCTGGTCTCCTCAGGTCCTTCAAAACCTCCAACATCTGGTCTCCTCAGGTCCTTCAAAACCTCCAACATCTGGTCTCCTCAGGTCTTTCAAAACCTTCAACATCTGGTCTCCTCAGGTCCTTCAAAACCTTCAACATCTGGTCTCCTCAGGTCCTTCAAAACCTCCAACATCTGGTCTCCTCAGGTCCGTCAAAAACCTCCAACATCTGGTCTCCTCAGGTCCTTCAAAACATCCAACATCTGGTCTCCTCAGGTCCTCCAAAACCTCCAACAACTGGACTCCTCAGGTCCTCCAGAACCTCCAACATCTGGTCTCCTCAGGTCCTTCAAAACCTCCAACATCTGGTCTCCTCAGGTCCTTCAAAACCTCCAACATCTGGTCTCCTCAGGTCTTTCAAAACCTTCAACATCTGGTCTCCTCAGGTCCTTCAAAACCTTCAACATCTGGTCTCCTTAGGTCTTTCAAAACCTTCAACATCTGGTCTCCTCAGGTCCTTCAAAACCTTCAGCATCTGGTCTCTTCAGGTCTTTCAAAACCTTCAACATCTGGTCTCCTCAGGTCCTTCAAAACCTTCAACATCTGGTCT